TGGAGGGAAGGAGAGGGAAGAGGAAGGGGGAGGGAGGGAGGGAGGAGATGGGAGAGGGAGGAGGGAGGGGTGAGGAAGGAAGAGGAAGGGGAGGAAGGGGAGGAGAAAGTAGGGAGGAGAAGTTTGGTGACAATTGAGGGTCCCTTCTTTCTTGATGACATTTGGTGGCCCCTTGTTCCTGATGTGTTAGATAGTAAGAATGTACACTTGGTGCTTGGCTCTGAAGAATTTTTGGGCAGAAGTGTCATGGAGAACAAGGCCTGTAGAGGCTCTGAGCACCACCCCCGCTGCTCCTCACACACATGGTGCATTGTTGATGCTAATTACTGGTCCACTCCAGTGGAGCAGGAGACTGTGTTGATGTTACACTAACAGTTTATGCTTGACAAGCTCCCTGTGCATGTAATAATTACAGCATATTTGTCTTTGGTATTTCGCAAGCGTTCTTTCTGGAGAATACTGGCAGGATTAAGTAACAGCTTCTCGGCCAGCGTGGTTGCTCAACAGCACCAAACAGGGACCAAGGGCTATGACGCGCACAGCCCTGGCTCTCCCCCTTCCCATCTCTGACCTTTTGCTTTTCTTACGTATAAAATAATCTATTGTGAGGCTGTTCCTATTGTTCCCATCACAGATGCCAGGAAGTACTTCAGCAAAACATTTTGCTTTAGTGTTAAAGGACAGCTTTTACAGTGGTTTGGAATAAGACAGGCCGGCAAGCCACCAGGCTGCCAGTAACCAGGGACTTGAAAGTCTTCCTTTGGGAACCATAGGGGAACTGACATTTCTGTTTTCCTGTTCACATCCAACTGCATGATTGGCAACTGGCTCGTTGGTGGGTGGGGTGTGGTTGTGATTCTGTCTTGGAAAGGTCAGCAGGAGCTGTGACACTGGCTGCATTGTGTAGCCCCACACTCTGATCCTGGACACGTGCGCAGGAGCCCGTTATGCAACACAGCCCATGGCCTCAAGGCCATTTGCACAAGTTTCTCCTTCCCCAAGTTTGCAGTCTCCTGAGATGATTAACTCATGACATAATTCTCGCCCACAAACACAGGCCGCTCGAACAGAGCAGAAATTCCAAAATAAAGCACTTCAGAAATAGCTAAGCATTTTTGGACGTTTTACCCTTCCTGCACGATTCACAAATGTTTTTAAACCTCTGAGTGAAACAGAGAGACCGACTCAGGGCTTTCTTATTTAAACGTGGGAGTTTTGTGTGAGAGGGTTCCTGTGGGAACTCTCTCTTCTGCAGTGTTTTGATTTTACCTTTTTGTGTTCCAGCTTGCTGCTGAAAAGCCAGGCTTGCCTCGTCTGATGAGCTAAAGACTAATGTATAGTGGCTTTGACGAATATTTTCAGAGTCATGAGGCAAGGCCTGTCATGTTTCCACATACAGTGGAAAGTTACTGTTGTGGCTGCCACAGAGTCCATGGAACCAAAAAAATAAAAAAGTAAATGGCACACTGTGGCAGGTTTATTAATCTTATCAAGGGAGTTTGGTCTGTGGAACTGATGTGTCAGGATTCTTTGTTGTGAGTGGCACAAGTTCAAACAGAGTGGCCTGGGTCAAAGACAATGCCATTGACTGGCAGCCCTCAGCAGGAAAGGACAGTAGGGCCGGGCTCTCTGGGCTGGAGGGACACCCCGTGTTTCCTGTTGTGCCTGGTGTCCATATGATGGCAACTGGAGATTGGAACGCAGGTCCTCAGGCTTGCAAGAATTTTATCTGCTGAGCAGTGTCCCCAGACCCACCACCGTCTTCCATTTTGTCTGTGGAGTATTGAGGGTGGCCTTGGCTGACAGCAGAACCTGGAAGCCAGATGGGAGTGGAAAGGACGGGGCTGGGAGTGGAAAGGCCAAGATTGGTCAGGATCTCCAGCCACTGTTGGAGAAGTGGGTCAGCCATGGGGGCAGAACCCTGTGGAGGTGGCAGCACCTGAGTCAGAACATTGGTGGGTGGGGATGTGCACAGACATGGTTTAAGTAGACTGGCTGGGGAGAGGGAGTCCCTGGACCCAGCACCTGTGGCCCAGCTTTCCCTACCTACTGGAGAGGAATTTTCCTGCCAGTTCCCAGCCTCCCCAACAGAGAGAGTGCTTTATGACTTCTCTGAAGATACCTTAAAAGGACATGGACCCTGGGGCAGGGAGAGACATGCTGCCATGGGCAGCCCTACTCAGGCCTGTGCCCTAGGTCAGGGGGACAGTGTGTTAGACATCCACCATAGCTTCAGGAGGACAGTGTGAGAGCATCCACCATAGCTTTCAGGAGGACAGTGTGTGGGAGACAGACATCCACCATCCTTGGCTTCAGGACAACAGTGTGTTAAACATTCACCATAGCTTCAGGAAGACAGTGTGGGAGACATCCACCATAGCTTCAGGAGGACAGTGTGTGAGAGCATCCATCCTTAGCTTCAGGAGGACAGTGTGAGAGCATCCACCATAGCTTCAGGAGGACAGTGTGAGAGCATCCACCATAGCTTCAGGAGGACAGTGTGAGAGCATCCACCATAGCTTCAGGAGGACAGTGTGAGAGCATCCACCATAGCTTCAGGAGGACAGTGTGAGAGCATCCACCATAGCTTCAGGAGGACAGTGTGAGAGCATCCACCATAGCTTCAGGAGGACAGTGTGGGAGAGACATCCACCATAGCTTCAGGAGGACAATGTGGGAGACAGACATCCACCATCCTTAGCTGTGGTTCTGTCACCAGCCCTGTATGCTCAGGTCCCCCAGTGAGCAGCAGTGAACCCCAGGAAAGCACTTGACCATTGTTTGTCACCTCTGTTGCTACCAACAGAGCAATCCCCAAGCACCCTCACTGTCCCCCAGTGATTTGAGAGCCCTCAAGTTTTACACAGTTCTGATTACCCCGATCTAGGCCATATTATATGTTTTCTCTTATATCAATGTTATTTATTCTCATTATGAGCTCTTTGGGGGAAAGAGGAGCCTGCTTTTCAGGGCTTGGAGAGAAGTTCTGGGACTTTCTGGGGCAAGATAATCTGACCCCACAAGTGAACTTCTGCTAATACCATGGCCTGTTTCCTAAATAAACTTCCGAGGAAGAGAGCTCAAGGCTCCTTTTCTTCTGAACAGTTTGCATACCCTAAAGCTGTTTGAAGTAGGAAGTGCCCATCTCCCCTTGCCCTGGCCTCAGTTCTTTGCCTCCAAGAACAGACCTCCTGGTGATGTGATTGGTTTCTCAACTTCAGGGTTTGCAGGTGGAGAAGTGGCCCTGCAAAGTAGCGTCAGAAGGCCCTAGTTGCTTCCTGTCTCCTCCAGATCTCTGTACACTTATCTCAGCTTCACAGCAAGTAAACACCGAGGGCTCCCACCTGCCCGGGCCCAACTTTCCCATGCTGGCCCCACTGAAACCAGTACCATTGTTACACGTTGACCTTTGAACTGGCCTCTAGAGACCTGCATTGCAGCTCCCCATAGCTGAGACGTTTGGCTCTAGAGTATGGACAACAAATCCCCTTAGCTGAGGCTGTGTGTGTGTGACCCTGATAGCTGAGGCTGCCCATGGACAGGCTGCTCTGAAAGGCCAGTGACAAATGCCAAGCTGCTTCCGGGAACACGTGCCCACGAGCAGTCATGAGCCCGTGAGCTCTTGGCAAAGGCCAACTCCACTGAGAACCACGAAGCTCTCATACTTTCACTGGCGCATGATTCTTGTTTTGACTTCCCCAAGAAGGAAGGGTGTGTGTGTGTGTGTGTGTGTGTGTGTGTGTGTGT